CCTTTATAGGGTCTTTCTCACAACCACTATGAATAGAAACTCAGCTTTTCTTACAAAAGGGAGAGAATTTTCTTAGAAACCAATGATTTCAGGTCTTTCTTGCCTGTGAGAACTTTCTATTTGTGTCAAGTGAGAAGGTCTCTGCAAATATTTTTTAACGTAGCAAGCAGAGAGACAAGAGCTACACTGAAACATCAGTTTGCTAGGCAGAAATATAAGGCATTATCTGTGTCTCTGCCAAACTTTTAGCTTGTCAAAATCACACCCAACTTTATAAAATTAAGGTAAAATGTTTAACAACCTGGAAGTGTAAATTAAAGCATAAAACTTTTACTGGTTAGCAATCTCTCAGCCTCAGCTGATGCACCTGCACACTGAACCTCAGCAACTTTATGTCAACTTGGCACTAAATCCCACATACCTCTTTCACATGACTAATCTGCTGAATGTCAGCAGACCTGCACCTATGAATAGCATTATAGCATTTGATTAGCTGATTTTGAGATTCTTGAGATTTTCATGCTGTATAAATCCTATGCAAATATATGGTACTATAAAGCAGTAGTAACTGTTGTTCAGGAACTTGTTTTCAACTATTGTTAAAATGTTATGGAAATGTGATAATTACTGGGGGGGTGGGGGGGAGAGCTATATCTAGAATAAACTGAAAAGCATTGTTCACCTTCTTATTGCTCCATATCTGGATAGATTTTTTTTTATTCTCCAGCACACTCTGAAATGTGCTTCTGAATACTAATAAGCAGTAATGCATTGGTAGTAAATATAAGACACACTAAAATAAACTTTCAATGAGTGAGTGCTGCTTGATAAGGCAAAGTACTTCTTCCTATTCATGCACCTGAAAGACCACTTTTTGGTCAAGGTCTTTCAAAGGAATTTTAGATATAGAATATACAATTTGGGTGTACACATGAAAGTCCGAATGAATATAATCATCCTGTTTTTTCTCTTGTTGTTTGTGGTTTAGATACTTGTATATGAAAACCAAAAATATTATATTAATGTTTTGTTTCATTTGACCTTAATGTAGCTGTCAGGTAAAAAGTTCTCTCACTTGTGATTATTTGTAATTAGTTTGCTGTTTTTATAATTCCATGGTCTCCTGAAAAGAGAAAACAGGTGATGCAAATTCAATGATGGAAAATAGAAAACATAAAATAGTACAAAGGATTAGATGCCTAAATCTCTGAATGAACATCTGTGGATCCTGAAAACTTGCTTATAACAGCTGATTCATTTTCATAGCATCTGAAAGAGAAAGTTATAATTTCTTTGTTTTGTCTCCTTTGCAGCACAAGAAAAGTGCTGAGGTTTTATTTGTCTGTTGGATTCTTAATAGTAGAATTATTGAAGAGATATTTGCTAGTTAGGATTTGTCAGTCTGTTTTCTTAGTGTAATTTTTGATAATTTTTTTTTCATCTTAAAAAGTAAATAGGGGAAATTATTGATTTGATGAGAAAAAACCTACATTAGACAAGGGATACCATTACAGGGGAAAAAAGCTGGAGATTTTTCCTCTTCTGAGGAGGTAAATTTTGCTAGCTGCTGAGGGAACTGGACAAAGGAACAGAAAGATGCTAAGTTCTTCAGTACCTAAGTACTTTAAGTATTTGGCTTTTTGTTTGACTGGGGGGGTTTGCCACTCATGTGTAAAGAGGTGCATTTTCTTCTCTCTTTTGACAGGATCCAGTGACCAGACAGCTCACTACTTTTCCAGCTTAGGCTTTTCATTAGAATTATTTAAGGTCTGTGGAACAAGAGAAAAAAGTCCTCTTTAAGGAAAAAAATAAAGGCACAAGGGATGAACAGGTAAAGGAGCAGAGGCTTGAGTCATTGTAGAAAATCACAGGGAAGAGATGAAAGGAAGATATTTGAGGGAAAAAAAGTAATTGTGGGAGATTTTGAGTGGAAGTAAAGAGCAAATATAAGTCTAGGTGGGGAAGGAAAATGCCAGGTTTTAGTAAGAGGAAGAAGAGAGTAAAAACAATTTAGAGAGGAAATTGAAATTTAAGAGAAGTGTGTCAGAACAGAAAGAAGCAATGGAAATATACGCATGGAAGTGGAGCAGCCTAGGATAAACGTCTGGAGGGAAGAAGGTATTAATGGTGTTGGGACACAGCACCTGTCTGGCAGATTGCACAGTAGGAGAGAAACAAATGTAAGTGTATTTGTACTTGAGAAGCTGGAAAATGGAATTTGTGAGCTTATAGTTATTAAGAAATCTCTTACACAATGTAATAAGCAAAATTGTTCTAACTTGCAGATTTTGTTATGGATCATATGCTCGTCTAAAATCACTAGTATTGTGATCCTCCCACGCTTACAAAAGAATAAAAGGGCTAACTGCATTTCTTGAATCAACAATGTATTTTAGGGTTGTGAAGAATTTAAAGGCAAGTAATTAAAAAAAAAGGCTTTTTTTTGTAAATGTTAAAATAATTCTGAATTATAGTTTACTAAAAATCATTGAATCATCTGACGATCACTTGTTCACAATTTTAAAATTAAATGTCACAGTAGCATTCGGCCCTTCTCAAGTTAGATGTCAACAATGTCAGAATGTAACAAGATAAAAGAGCATTTCAATCAAATATGCAAAGAAATCATATAGAAAGTAGCTACCAGTACCATATACAGTACCAGATCCAGTACCATAGTCCTTATGTGCTTTTCATGAGGAATATTCCCTTAAGTAGAATAACAGCTTGGGCAGTATGTTTTTTAATTTTTTTATTTAAAATGTTTATCATTGTTATAGATTATTCTTTCCTAGTAATTTTTATTGTCATTATATTTAGTTGCTTTAGTTACAATTCATAATTGTTGCCTAAGTTATAAAATGTCAAAGAATTGTCAGTGGTGTTTTAATTTTTTCTCTTCTTACTACTATTAACCATAATGGAATATGATATACTTTCCAGGTCTTTTTTAATAGAATATCAATTACATTGGAATTGTTCTTGAATGATAAAAAGAAAATAAAATTGCATTTTAATGGGCTAAGATATTCAAATGTATTTTGATGAATAAGGAGTATGCTGATGGAAATTACACAGTCTAATTAGTTCGTGCAGATGCCATAACCAGACTGCATGATACGTACTGGTAAGTGTCATTTTTACATTGCTAGTACTGCTTTCATTTATGGATAAGAAAGAAATATATGTCAATTCAGCATATAATAATACACCATGTACAGTATGCTTCCTTTATCTGTTCAAAGACAAGAATTATTTTAAGATACATATAGTCTAGAAATCAATTAAATAGCAAAAGTTTCCAGCATAAGTATTAATTTTTTAACCCTTCTGGACAAAGTGAAAATGAAAACTGAGACCTTTGTTTGAAAGATACAGAAACTAATGTGGATTTAAAAAAATATGTGAGTCTAAAACTTAAATCGACTATTTGATTAAAGTTTTTAACCTGTATGTTTTGCCACCCCAAACTGTGAAGACGTTTTCTTAGTAATAATTTTCCCTCTCTCTCTCTCTCTCTCTGTATATATATATATATATACTCAATTCCCTGCAACACTTACATTCACTCACTAAAGACACACACAGACACGTACATCCCCAGTTTCCTGGTTTAATATGGTGTTCATTTGTCTTTTTAAATCAAAAGGACGTGTGACTTCTTTTTAAAGATTTTCAGAGATCTGGGTCATAGCAGCTTGAATGTAAAATTTCATATATCCCACAAGAACTCTTGAACAGGCTCTCCAACAATGTCACTTCTGGTGTAGTTTAAAAAAAGGCCTCAGAGCTTGAATATTCCTCTTTCAGCTGTAACTTCTACGTATTATACAAGTCTCAGATTTTTCTTTAATATTTTATGATTTGCATTATCATTTGGAAAAAAAAAAGAAAGAGGCAACTAGGGAAACTATAAAATATCCTACTGTGCTATAAGGCACAAATAGACAATCTCAAGACTACAGTGAAGCACTTACAAATAGTTTTAAAAAGATAAATGATTACTTCATACAACATTTAAGCTTGTAGTTATGTTCCCTTGTTGCAGGCAGGAGGAAAGGAATAAGTAAAGATTCTGTTCTTATCTTCCAATTACATGATACAGATGCTAAAGACAGCCCTTTGAGGCATATTAATTATCTGTTGAATTACTACTTAGCTAAAGGCTTAAATGATATTTTCTAAACTAACACTCTGCTTGTTAGACTTTTTTGTAACTAGTGTAATGATTTAAAGGTCAGTTCATATGAGATGCATCATTTTCATTTGGTTTAATGACTCTTGGTCCTCAAAAGATTTACCTCTAGTATATTTAATAGAAAATAATGCTTTCAGTGTCTACTAGTAGAGTTAATCTATTTACTTAAACAGTGACTACTAATTTTTCTCTGCATCCTCTCTTCTCAGCAAGAATGTGGTCATTACAGTGTTTACTGCAAATGAGTAATATACTACACAGTTTGTGCTCTTTCAACTGAGGTATAAGGAAAATGCACAACTCGCAAACCTACGCTCTCTCAGTTGGAAGTTTGTTAGCTGTCAGCAGAGCTTAATGATACCTGCCTCAGTCTCATGGTTGCTAATGAAATGGCCCGATTTCTGCACTGGAGAAGCATAGCTCAGGCCAAGCTAACTTATATATATAGATCAAGTTTTAGAAAAAATATACAACAGAAAGCAGTCAGATGAGCTGTAGTAGAAAAAGAAATCAAGAAGAAGAGCAAATATATACCTTATTATTAACCAGTATTTTGACAGAGCCTACTGCTTTCCAGTGAGAATACAATGGCTGAAGTTCTGTAGACTTCACTAACATGGGTGTCCTGCTTTCAGTTGGGATAGCGTTAATTTTCTTCCTAGTAGCTGATACAGTGCTGTGCTTCAGCTTTAGACTGAGAAAAATGCTGATAACACACCAAAGTATTAGTTGTTGCTGAGCAATGTTTCGAGCCGGAAGTAGTGTGGGGCCAGGGGTGGGCTTGAGTGCCATGTCAGGGGGCATGGAGCCGCTGCTGGAGGTGGTGTCGCAGTTGGAGAGCCTGGTGTTTGGGCCCGGCACTGCCAAGCCTCCTCCGGCCAGCGCAGGGGATGCACCGAGTCCTCCGAGCCCCTGGGAGGGCGGTGGGGAAGACCAGGCTCTGCTGCCTCCAGCGGAAGGAGAGAACTGGTCACCGCGGCCTGCAATCCCCAGCAAGCCTCCCACCGCTGTCCCCTCATCAGACTTGGACAGTGATACAGATTTGGATAGTTCATCAACTACATCTTCTTCATTTTCACTTTTGTCAGTGTCTGATGAAGATGATCATTCAAATTAGAACAATAACAGATCTTACTATATTCAAACAAAAGATGATGACCTGCCTCCTTTTGAACAGTTAACAATAATTCTGCCTGATGATGTTGAACTGAAGCTCTTTGGGACAGTTTCCAGCATCATCGAGCAGCTAATAATAATTGAATAACTTATTTTTCGTTTGTTTGATAGGCTGAGAAAGTTGGGGCTGTTCATTAGGGACTGTAGTGATAGGACAAGGGGTAATGGGTTCAAACTTAAACAGGGGAAGTTTAGATTGGATATAAGGAAGAAATTCTTTACTGTTAGGGTGGTGAGGCACTGGAATGGGTTGCCCATGGAAGTTGCGAATGCTCCATCCCTGGTGGTGTTCAAGGCCAGAGCCTTGGGTGATATGGCTTAGTGTGAGGTGTCCCTGCCCATGGCAGGGGTGTTGGAACTAGATGATCTTAAGGTCCTTTCCAACCTTAACTATTCTATGAATGCTTACCCTGATCAAGGACTTTTCAGTCATGCTCTGCCAGTGGGGAGTTGAACAAGAAGCCATGAGGAAGCAGAGACAGGACACCTGACCCAAATAAGCCAACGGGGTATTGCATACGCAGCACATCATGCCCGGTATATAAACTAGGGGGAGTTATCTGGAAGGGCAGATTGCTGCCCAGGTGTGGTTCCGTACCCAGCTGTGGGTGGTGAGCAATTGTATTGTGTGTCACTTGTGTTTATTGCTTTTAGTTTTATATTCTCTCCCCTTGTTATTTCTCTTATCATTATTATTATTAGTAGTAGTAGTCCTGTACTATAATTTAGTTATTAAACTGTGCTTATATCAATCCGTGGATTTTGACATTCTTTCAATTATTTTCCGCATCCCACCCGGGGAGGGGGAGAAAAGATGTGAGTGGCTGTGTTGTATTTAGTTACCAGCTGGGTTTACACAATGACAATTTAGGACTGCTTTACTGCTAGAGTAAAATAAACACAATAATATTTACTGAATTCAGACTTTAACGTTTGGTGGTTTAAATTAAATTAAATAAGAGGTGAAAATATAACTATTAAAAAAATCCCAAGCAATGGATAGTATTTGCTTGGGACTGTCTTATCTACCAGCTACAGTATAATGCAGATGATTATACAGTGCAACAGATTGCCACAACTTTCTTCTCAATTTTGGGTGATTTTTTTTTTTTTGTTTGTTTTCATTTGTTTGTTTGGTTTTTTTTTTTGTTGTTGTTTTTTCTTGTATCGTGGTTTTGGGCATAAATATATAGTATTTCAAGATCCGGAGTACCTCATAGTCATGTCAGAATAGAAATTCTAAGTTCATATAATTGATGTGGTATTTATGTCTAACATCACAGAAAATTGGTGTTTAATTTGAAGCAGAAGTGAGTCTTCTTATTTTGGGCATGTAATATCTGTGCAGAAATTGCTATTACTCTCACACTCAGAAATCTGGACTATATGACTATGCAATTTTAAAGCTGATACAAAGAGAGAATGTTGCTACTAAATGAATTCAAGTTCAGTGTACTTTAATTTTGTTTAAAAACTAATAAAAAGCCCTCTTCAAATTTTATACTTACTATAGAGGATTTTATGTCATGGATCCCAGGTTTTTTCATATCATTATAGGTTTATTGGCTCTTAGAATTTGAAAGATGTGCACAGTTGATGAAAATGTCTTTAAAGATATTTTTCTAGATTTCCACATCCTATAATATTGGGTTTGCACAGCTTTCTCTGGCCTACTGCTTGTGCACACCCTTGGTCCTTTTGAGAGTTCAACATTTCAAATCCATTTTGAAGTTGGCTGATCATGGGATGTAATTCCACATCCACTCAGGCTTTTATAGATATGTGCATTTAAGCCAGCTGTATAGCAATAAACTGTTGGCTCAAATCACTCGAGTTAGCAGTCTAAAGGAAGCTTTAAAAATATCTCTTGCACAGCTACATAAAGCCATAGATTTATATTCTTGGTTACTTTGAAAATGGAACATCTCATCCTGTAAAAAATTTTCATGCTTTCATACAATATTGGTAACCTGTGTAACACTTCATTGTTTATCAGAAATTCTTCTTCATCAGCATTGAATTAAAATCACTTGTTATGGCAATAATTAAAGTATTCTAGCCTCTGTTCTGCTTTAATTGTTTTTTGTGCTCAGGTGAAGCCTACCACCTGAAGGGAGAGAGTATATCCTTTCTTTAACCTTGAAGTTATAGTACAGGAAAAGAAATTTCTGAGTAGAGAACACTTCAGGCTAAATCCTAGTTTTAAATGATTCTCCTTTTGCAACTGAACTTACACGTGACAAAATACAGTCTTGTTAGCTGATGCGGCTACACAACCTAAATTTTCTACTGGTAATAAAATCACAGTATCACAGTATGTTAGAGATTGGAAGGGACGTCAGAAGATCATCTACTCCAATCTCCCTGCCGGAGCAGGAACACCTAGATAAGGTTAAATAGGAACGTGTCCAGGCGGGTTTTGAACATCTCCAGAGAAGGAGACTCCACAACCTCCCTGGGCAGCCTGTTCCAGTGTTCTGTCACCCTCACTGAGAAGTTTCTTCTCAAGTTTAAGTGGAACCTCTTGTGTTCCAGTTTGTACCCATTACCCCTTGTCCTATCATTGTTTGCCACTGAGAAGAGCCTGGCTCCATCCTCGTGACACTCCCCCTTTATATATTTACATACGCTAATAAGGTCACCCCTTAATCTCCTCCAAACTATAGAGACCCAGCTCCCTCAGTCTTTCCTCATAAGGGAGATGCTCCACTCCCTTAATCATCTTAGTTGCCCTGCGCTGGACTCTCTCCAGCAGGTCCCTGTCCTTGAACTGAGGGGCCCAGAACTGGACACAATATTCCAGATGCGGTCTCATCAGGGCAGAGTAGAGGGGAAGGAGGACCTCTCTCGACCTACTAATCAACCCCTTTCTAATACACCCCAGGATGCCATTGGCCTTCTTGGCCACAAGGGCACAGTGTTGGCTCATGGTCATCCTGTCATCCACTAGGACCCCCAGGTCCCTCTCCCCTACACTGCTCTCTAACAGGTCGTTCCCCAATCTATACTGGAACCTGGGGTTGATCCTGCCCAGATGCAGGACTCTACACTTTCCCTTGTTATATTTCATCAAGTTATTCCCTGCCCAACTCTCCAGCCTGTCCAGGTCTCTCTGGATGGCAGCACAGCCTTCTGGCGTGTCGGCCACCCCTCCCAGCTTAGTGTCATCAGCAAACTTGCTGACAGTACACTTGATTCCCTCATCTAAATAATTGATGAATATATTAAATAATACTGGTCCCAGTACTGACCCTTGAGGCACTCTGCTACATACAGGCCTCCAACCAGACTCCGCCCCATAGACTACAGCTCTCTGGCTTCTCTCCTTCAGTCAGTTCACAGTCCACCTCACTACCCGATCACCCAGACCACACTTCCTCAATTTAACTGTGAGGATGCTGTGGGAGACTGTGTCAAACACTTTGCTGAAGTCAAGGTAGACCACATCCACTGCTCTGCCATCATCCATCCACCGTGTTATTTCCTCATAAAAGGTTATGAGATCGGTCAAGCATGACTTCCCCTTGGTGAAGCCATGTTGACTGCCCCTCATAACCCTCTTATCCTTTATATGCCTTAAGATGGCACAAAGGATAAGGTGTTCCATCAAAACGTTGCTATATATTATGTTTAACAAGTATTGTTGAAATGAGAAAATTGATGCTAACAAGTTAAGATCTTGTAGAGAATCCAGGTTTTAAATCCATCCTGTGACACCCTTGTCTCTAAATTGGACAGACACCAATTTGATAGATGGGCTACTCGGTGCATAAAGAACTGGCTGGATGGCCGCACACAAAGAATTGTGGTCAGTGGCTCAATGTCCAGCTGGAGATCAGTAACAAGTGGTGTCCCTCAGGGATCGGTGTTGGGACCAGTCTTCTTCAACAACCTCCTTGGTGACATGGACAGTGGGATTGAGTGCACCCTCAGCAAGTTTGCTGATGACACCAAGATGTGTGGTTCAGTTGATACGTGGGAGGGAAGCAATGCCATCCAGAGGGACCTTGACATGCTTGTGAGGTGGGCTGATGCCAACCTCATGAAGTTCAACCATGCCAAGTGCAAGGTCGAGTACAGCTGGATCAGGGCAACCCCAGGCACAGCTACAGGCTGGGCAGAGAAGAAATTCAGCACAACCCTGCGGAGAAGGACTTGGCGGTGTTTGTCGATGAGAAATTTAACATGAGCCGGCAGTGTGTGCTTGCAGCCCAGAAAGCTAACCGTATTCTGGGCTTCATCAAAAGGAGTGTGACCAGCAGGACAAAGGAAGTGATCCTGCCCTTCTACTCTGGTCTCGTGAGACCTCACTTGGAGTATTGTGTGCAGTTCTGGTGTCCTCCACATAAAAAGGACATGGAACTGTTGGAACAAGTCCAGAGGAGGGCCCCCAAGTCCTTCTCCGCAGAGCTACTCTGAATCTTTTCTCTGCCAAAAGCAGAAAGGGTACAACAGTGATTTTTTCATAACGTTATATTCAGGCGAAAACAAATGCCATTAATTACTGAAATTCAACATGGAACCTCAACTCCAACATCAGAAAAGAATTTGCAGGGTTAATTGAAGAACACTGTGACAGGAATATGAATAATTTTCATCGTATGTCACAAATAAGGGGAGTTGTAGGACATAATATAATGGAATATAATAATAATGGAATATAATATAATAAGATAATGGAATGGCAAAAACCTACAGTCAATGAATTAGGAAAGTGGAATTCACACAGCGTCATTATATCTGTCTCATATCAGTTTGAAATAACACTAAGGCTTTGAAAGAAAATAGTTCCGTTTTGAAGTTGAAATATGATAAACACTGTAGGAAGAAAAGCTGTAGAAACATGGCCTTATGGCAGAAGCTTTTTCCTAGGGATAGTGTACATAAATATATTAAAGCACGATTTCACAATGTTTGATCTGATAAGAGAGAAGCTTTTGAAGTCTTGAGAAAAAATACTGAATTACTGATTA